CATTGCATCTTGACAGTTGTATCTTTGAGCTCATTCTCTACTTATTCTAAATATCAATTTATTTTGCTACGCTCCCCTGTTTATCGTTAATGACTCAATTTATATCCAAATTACTTTACAAACACTTTATGTGCACCAAGTTTTTCGACCCGTGACGAAACTAATTCTCGAGTTTTCAAGTGGACAGAAAAATATTACAAAACTCGACTATCTTAGACATCAGTAATAAATTATGAAGTATAAACTTTCATAAAATAATACATAATATTGGTGACAGTGAGAATACGTTTAATATTTGTGTAACAATTCGATTTTCATAATTAAAGAATTAAAAATTATGAAAACTTTTCGGGACTAAAATATTGAGATTCCTTTTTGTTTCGTGTTATAAACGAACGTTTCTTTCACCATACCTTTTATATATATTCTTCATTTAGATTAATTAATTATTCTAAGTGTTATTTGTCTGTTACTGATAGTTGCTGTTGTCATCGCTTTCTTCCTTTGTTGGGCACCTTTCCACGCACAGCGCCTTCTGGTGGTATATGTGCATCCTCGACAGTGGACTATGAATTTAAGAACACTTAATGAAGTATTGTATTATCTTGCAGGTAGGATATTGTTCTATTCTAATGCATTTTTGTTGGGGTAAAAATGGTACACATTTAGAGTATTATTTATCTTAATCAACAATTAGCTTTGAATTGGTATTATTATCAAGTGTTACTTTTATATTTTATTCTTTTTACCAATATTTTTCGATAGGTTGTCTGTATTACTTCAGTGCAACCATCAACCCGATCCTTTATTCACTAATGTCAACCAAGTATAGAGAAGCCTTTCGAAGGACGCTATGTTTATTTTCACAGCCCAAACACCAACGCAGCAGCACACAACAGCGGGGACATACTGAACCTTGCCACAAATCAATGTGTCTGAATCAAGATTCGTTTTGTTCAAAAAGAAACAATCAGATTGGTTCTGAATGTAGCAGTTCCGTTCCGCTGGAGCATCTGGACATCACGGAAATCAAGCGATTGCCCAACGAAGAATCTTCATCTCGGACAGATAGGAATCTAAAATGGACTAAAATTACCGACGAGAGAAAGAATCAGTTTCATCCAGAGATTCCTTCAGAGAACGTGTTTTCATCAAAATTTCCAAAAGCAAGTTCCTTTCTTAATCATTACAAACCAAAGAATAGAGAGAAGAAGAAAGAACTTTCCTCGAAGAACGGACAAATTGAACTATGATGAAATTCCTTACTCAGGAGCAAATAAATCAAGAGATTCTCGCAAAAATAATATACATTAAGGTGTTATTTGTTGAGGTGTGCGTGAAAGACCTCATTGTTGAGGTATTGGTATAATGTGAAACGAGATATATAGACATGAGTATATTATGTTAGTAAATCAAAAACCTTTAACAAGCTTCAATTTAATATATCGTTTGTTTTGATCAATATAAAACTATTTTGCTCTGTGGACTCATTATATATGGATGTATACAAAGGAATATTGTGCTGTAATTAGATAATACCCACTCATTTTCTTTTATTTTTAACTTTTAATTAAGTATAATTATGATGTTTAGTAAGAGCATTGCTACTCTATCAATCACAGTGTCTTCCCCCATTCTGTGGGTCGATGACTATGGTTTCCCCATTGTTCTCTATACCTCGCTGCCTGTACCAACTTTCCTGTTTGAAGCATCTCATTGATAATCCATCTTCTAATGTGACCGATCCAAGTGAATCGCGTTCGTCTTCCTTCCAGTTCACACTTCAGAACCTCTGTCAATTCAACCTTTCCCCAGATATAATTATATTGTCAAAAATAGTGGATCTTCCATTTCCTATATATACCCAGCAATTATATTTAGTCTTTGTAGCATTGCTCCTAAATAACTGTTAAATGAGATAGTTTGCTAACATTTGGCATGCAACTTGTATTGTAAACAGTTTGGCATGTAATTCGAATTTTAAAAGGTTTAGCATGTTACCTATACATTAAACAGTTTGGCATGTAATCTGAACTTCAAAAGGTTTAGCATGTTACCTATACCTTAAACAGTTTGGCATGTAACCTGTGCTTTAAACAGTTTGACATATAACTTGTACTTTAACTGGCGTGTAACCTGTATTTTAAACAGTCTGTCATGTAATCTATACCTTAAAGAGTTTGATATGTTCTCTTTAATTGACATGTAACCTTAATTTAAGGAGTTTAACATGTAACCTGTACTTTAAACAGTTTAACATGTAACCTTACATTAAACAGTTTAACATGTAACCTGTACTTTAAACAGTTTAACATGTAACCTCTATTTAAACAGTTTAACATGTAACCTGTACTTTAAACAGTTTAACATGTAACCTGTAATTTAAACAGTTTAACATGTAACCTGTACTTTAAATAGTTTAACATGTAACCTGTACTTTAAACAATTTAACATGTAACCTGTACTTTAAACAGTTTAACATGTAACCTGTAATTTAAACTGTTTAACATGTAACCTGTACTTTAAACAGTTTAACATGTAACCTGTACTTTGAACAGTTTAACATGTAACCTGTAATTTAAACTGTTTAACATGTAACCTGTACTTTAAACAGTTTAACATGTAACCTGTACTTTGAACAGTTTGGCATGCGAGAAGTTATTCAACAGTTCTACACCAATGCCACATTTGAAGTGCATGGTAATCAGAAGTCATTTAACAATTTGTTGTGAGGTGAGACAAGCTAACATATATTGTCGCGTAATCAAGGAGAACTCTCATACGTTTGATAATAACAAGACAAGATTGTACGTTGTGCATAATTAAAATGAAATGTGAATCGTATAGTGTTGTAAATATATCTTTATATGGAAGCAGTTGAACACCTGGATTGAGGTTAAACTGTGGCCTCAATTTCTAAGCCAGCAAACCAATTTAATTTATATCAGTTATCACCATTTCTATTATCTTTCACTCACCGAAACCTGTGCTAATGGCACTGAAAGTGTAAATGTAACTAAATACTCCAAATCTTATCTTTATTCAATATATATTGTCATTGTATCAGTCTTGTACTTTTATTTCGACTAATAAACACAAGTATCCAAAGCGTACTAACTTCTCTTAGTTTACTTCTAGAAAACAATAAAAAAGATTTGTTTCTTGTCAATAACAAAACTACACAATGTGATATTTGTGCTGTACCCACCACAAATATCGAAACCCGATTTTTAGTGTCTTAACTCCAAAAACTTAACGCTGAACCACTGAAGAAGGGGGGTAATGAATAAGAGGAAAGTAAGCTCAGCCATCGTATAAGGTATTATTGGGTTAAAAACACAAGATTGCGAAGAAAATACTCTTTCCAAGTTAACAAAAAAAGCTTTTACCCGACAACGAAATCCCACATATTATGCTCTGGTCAACATTTTATCAATCTTATGACGATGTTTTATTACTCTTGCTCTTCTAATTGTGGATGTTTCTGTTACATTAAAATATGAAATAACTAAAAGTGTAAATCATGAATGATAGTATAATTCTATATTGAATTACCTCAACTCCAATATTCACACATTTAAAAGTTTGGAGACGGTACCTGGTGATGATATAATCTTGTCGAAACGTTGTACATTTATAATGAAGTTTTCTTCATTACTCATTCACATCATCTCCAAACTTTTATTTTCTAAAAAGTGGATTCCTCGTCATTAAATATATACTCACGAGCTTAGCTTTTCAAACGAACTCAACTCAATTAAGTAGTGGAAATTAGCTGTGCAAATCAGCTCAGCCAACCAAGTAGTGGAGTTTTTTTAGGTAATGTTTGTTTGTTTGTAAATTAAGCATAAAGCTACGCAATGGGTTATTTGTGCTTTGCTCACTACGGGTATCAAAACCCGAATTCTAGCGTTATAAGTGCGCTGTGCCACTGGGGGGCGCTTTTAGGTAATGTTTCACGTTTATTTTTACATCGAAAAGTATTCGGCTATATAAATGTAATAACTACAAAAAAAAATTGAATTCTTTACAGTAACTCAAATGCTATCCGAAATGGGAACTATTAAAAAACCGACTAGTTACAGTGAGTGATAAAACAATTATTTCTACAAGCATACAGATATTTAAGAACATTCCATGATTCTCGAAAATTGCAATCCCACAGAGAATTTGCTTCTACGTGAAAAACAATCACTGACAAAAAAATATGTCAGTCTCTTTGTATTTCTTCCAATAATAGGATGTTGACAGATTCGATATATAAACCGGATACTGGAATGAAACTTAATGAGCTATTATTTAGCGTGCTGACTATAAATTAGAAATTTTCCCCTTTGACTGACAAAAGAGCGTGCACTTACCCTTCTACGCGATATTCCGTCTATTAATTTACCAGAAATATAATAAAGTTATTAACACAAATAAAACGTAGGATAACATGGACAACATCAGTTGAGAGGGACTGTTTAACACAGAAAAACTAAAACAACAACAATTTAGATTCAGTATTTTCAAAAAGGGGAAATAATATTTTGACGTAAAAAAATCAAAAGCATCTCTTTTAAAGAATGGTTTTTATAATGGTCGAATAGGGACACATTAACAAAGTAAGCTCTCTCTCTCTCTCCGGCATGGCTAGGTGGTTAGGGCGCTCGACTCGCAATCTGAGGGTCGCGGGTTCGAATCCCCGTCACACCAACCATGCTTTCCCTTTCAGCCGTGGGAGCGTTATAATGTGACGGTCAATCCCACTATTCGTTGG